GGGGGCAGTAAAAGAGTAGATCCTGCTCGTCCGCCTCGTAGTCAGCCTCGATTTTGCCATACGATCTTGCTTCCGCTTGGGTGAGATCCGCGACCGAGCCACTCAGATACTTCTTCATGCCGGCGATCCAGACTTCTTCCTCTTGGACTTGCTTGGTCCGATCGACTCGGATTTCGCGGATCCCCAAACCCTCATCCATGACACTCGCCGGTGATCTTGCTCGACCAGCTCGAGTGGTCACCGCGGTGACTCGAACCACTGGATTCACGGTCTTGGGGATCAAGATCTCGTCTAACCGGGTCAGGGTAGCAAGATCCTGGTACCCGGACGTCTCCTGGACCTCGATTCCCCTTTGTCGTTGCAAAGCCGCGCTTGCTAGACTGTCGGCACTTCCGTTCCAGTCCCTCTTGACGTGAACGAACTCATGATCATTCCATTTCCTCAGGCGGTCGAGGGCTTTCCGCTTCAATAGCGTCAGTCCGGGTGCCTTACAATCGATGTCACCCCGTACTTGTCGGATCACTAGGTTAGAATTCCCGCAGATCACCAGACGTCTGCGATCTAAACCCTCCAGCCTGTCGAGGCCCAAGATCAAGCCGTTGTACTCAGCTTCGTTCACGGTGAGGTTCTCGAGATAACCTGATCTGGCCTTGACCACCTCCCATCCGGGAAGACTCCACATAATCGCGCTGAACGTGCCCCCACCGCGCTTGTCTCGGGCGGATCCGTCAAAACTGATCACTCATAGTTCCTCATCTCGCTCTACGGTGGGGATTGGCGCTTGGATCCGGCGTTTAGGTTCTTTCCGAGGAGCGTTCTCGGTCAGAGCATCGTCGATCTTCCGTGATGCTGGCTGCGATCGCCCCCAGGATCTCATCTTCACCCTTCGTACACTTCGTGATCTCGAGTGTCCATGGGGCCAGAAGGCCGACCATTGCCCCAAGCGGCCCTGCAACCCCGTAGACTTGAACAGCCAGGCCAACGTAGAATGCCTCGTCAGGACCCGGATCTCGCGTCCTACTAGCAAATTGTAGTAGAGATCGAAGATCCTCAGCAACGCCAACACCTCTTTCTCCGTCACATTGTAGTTCAACTCATTCGTCTTCAAGGTGCGACTGGCGAACGCAACCGGATGGTAGATCCCATCGTGTTCTTGCGTCAACAAAGCGGATATCACCCAATCGCTGGCATACACGATAACCACCGCAATCGCGGGCATACACGATAACCACCGGCGTTCTCGTCTCGTCGAAATCGCGGAGGACTGGGGTCGTCGCGATCTTGCTTTTCAGGGTGGTGAAGGCCCTATGCGCCCTGATCCACCTCTCGTCTACTGATCTCGTCAACTTCAGTTCCGTTGGGCGTGATCTCGAGGGATCGGGTCATTCCGATCCAAGCTCTCCCTCAGATCTGATCGTTTCTCCAGTTCTGCAAACTACCAGTTCTGCAAACTCCACTTCCCGTAATTTGTAGAGTACCGAGGCATAGATTGCATAGTCTTCGATGAACCGGCTGTAGTAATTTATACTGCCCAGGAACGACTGCATAGATCGTAGAGAACCGGGGAACGGCAGATCGGTTAGCGATTTCAGGTCTTTCGGGCTCGCTTCTAAACCTCCGATCGACACTCGATGTCCCAGATATCCTACCTTATCCATGCCCCAAAAACTCTTGGCTACACTGATCGACAAATTC